TGCCTTAAGCATTTTATAAATTGTTGTCTGTCACTGGTTGACTCCTAGTCGTTTGCGGTCATCAGATACTTTGACATTTCCTTAATAAGAAACTTCCTATACTCTTCTAGACCACAATTCACATTTTAAAAGTTAAGTTATAATCAATCAATTCAATCATTAACATTTAACGCCAGGGGGGAGTGTAGTTAAAATACACGTTTAAATTTACTATATCTTAATCCTCTAACGGAAAGTCGATTTGTGATAGACTTCTTATAATAGGCCCTGATGATTATGTTTTAAAGTTTACATCAGCACATAACAAATCACGCTTCAACTGTAAGTGGTCTGCACAGTCAGTTTGTACTTTTAATTAGTGTTTTCCGGCCGAAACCGAAACTCAAACCATCATTGTACAGAAAACCTGTGTTAAGCAGTTCCTTCGTTTCTTTTTACCGTGTGACAGATGTTGCTGGAGCCCAAACCCTCCCCTTGCCCCTGATTCTGGAGGGAGGGACTGAAAGGTCTCTTAAGTCGTTGTGTCCATAGGCGGTGGCAGTCGTTTATTCTTATCATATATATTTTCTTCTGTTTGGGATAATTACAGCTACTATTTTAAAAACATAAGATACAATATCCGAGCGTCTGATGGTCATTTGCAAATATCCGCGATTAGAAATACACGCGTAACATTAAATTGGAAGTCAGTTAACAAACACAAAGCCAGCACCCGTAGTCATCAAAAAAAATTTTAAGCTAAAATGTTTTTAAGTTTAGAAACACTGGTATCAGGGAGGTCTATTTCATATTGAGATGAAATTTTATTATATTGTAAGTCAGCAATCATCAGCAATCGCCACCAATGTCCACGACACTTGAACGCACTTGGCGCGACCATAAGTTGCGGCCAATTTTGGCTAAAACCGAAATTCGCACCGAAACTAGATTTTTTGGCCAAAACCCAACCTGCTCTCGGCCACTACTTTTAAAGCTGTATTCGCCAGAGCAATTGAAATTGTGTCTCGTTAGGCTCTAACTGCTATAGCGTTTTACTTTTAGGCACTGTCGATACCTATGATTTCACGATCTCTTTAGTACAAACTCAAATAATTAAAACTGCAATATTGTCTTACTTTATAATCTGCAACTGTTATTACTTATTATCATATAGTGACTATTGACCGATCAAAGCATCACAAATTTCTCACAATTGAATCCACGACAAAGTACGCAAATCAATTCTTATTTACCGTTAGGCTTTCATCTTTTGCACCGTACAGCTTCTTGTCCGTCGTTACGAATCTATGGGTCGGTTTCCTTTACGAAAAGAAATATTTGATGTTTTACTCACCGCTTACTACTCACTTACTCACCTTCGCAATTCGGCTACAATTAGACTAAATCTATTGAATTTTTGGTATAATCTTTGTTTTTTGTTGGACTGTTGTTGTTGTTGTTGACTTTGTTGTCTGTTGGACTTTCTAGGCACTCGAAAACCAACGGTTTGGGTCTAAGGGTTGCACCTCATAAGACGGAATGGTTCCACAGAAAACGCAGAGATGCTGTTCCCACCCGCTCTCTTATTAGAGTGGGTGGAACATAGGTCGAGGTTGGCCGGCACATCAAATGCCTCGGCCTCACCCTGGACAGCCGTTGTAGCTTCCAGGAGAATTTCGAGCGGATGATCCCCCGAGTTAGCGAGGTGGCGGGGTCCTGACAGAGGCTGTTGCCTAATCTAAGAGGTTTACGGGAGGAGGTTCGCCGCCTCTACTGTGCGGTGATACGATCCATGGCCCTCTGGTCATGGCGCCGATATGGGCAAAGCGTCTAACGCCCTCTTCCCGATGCCGAGCTAAACTCAACAAGCGCAGCGGGTAGCGGCCATTAGGATCATACGAGGTTACCGCACCATTTCTGGCACGTTTCCCGCCTTTTGATATTATGGCGGATATGAACCCGAGGGTCTTTGACCAGAGTTACGCGATCCGCCGGGGTGAGAGCAGGGAAGACCAGGACGAGCTCGAAATGCGGCTGAACGCTCACTGACAGGCACTGATGCAGTGGCTCGCGCGGCTGCAATAGCCGCGGTAAGCGCGCTGTCGCTGCCGTTCTGCGTAACCTCGAAGCTTGGGTAGGTAGGTAGGGAGGGAGGTCGCGTCACCTGCCTACTGACTCAGGTAATTACTGGGCATGGCTGTTTCGGTGAGTACCTGAATCGGATTGGACTCCGCCCAGCATACGCTGGAAGACTGCCGGTGAGGAGGGCTGGGGCGCAGTCGTTTCTTTTTGTGAAGCTATAATGCTACAGAAAGAGACCACTGACCGATCCTAAGCGTAGAGGACGTCGGCAGCGATGTTAGACGTCGACGGTGCCGCACTCTGCCAGAGAATGGGGACCTCTGGTGGCAGAGTAATTGCTGCGGTAGGCGATAGGATGGCGGCAAAATGGGGTCGGGCCGCAACACATGTTGATGCGGCCGATAGGCGGGGGGAAGCCTGCTTCTCCCGGGATACGGCCCGGCTTGTTGCGGCGTCGATCTGAGAGAAGGGCGCCTGAGACCGGCTGTCGGAGTGGTTTTAGTGAAAATACCATATATCCCTGTTTCCTATGTCCTCGAGGAGCCGGAAATCCAAAAGGATTGACCACCCTGTCCACAAAAAAGGCACTAGAAAACGAATTATTCACACCATTCATTAGCTTTAGTGCAATTTCTTTGAAACAGCAAGCAATGGTCGTCAAACCAGATACAGAAGCTAGTATCCTGTATCTATGTAGATTACAAATACGTCGGCAGGGGTCTATTCCATTGTGTCATCCTCATCAGTTTCTTGCCAATATTATTTCTAATTAAGTCAGTATTGCCTATAACTATTAAGAGTTTCTTGAATTACCTTGTCTTAAACCCTCACAACACATTTATGGAGACTCTTGGTGTGCGTCACATATTACTCTTGTAAACATGTGCAGTTGAAGTTCAGTGCAAACAAGATATTCGAGCTTTAGCATTATTAAAATATAGCCGTACGAATCTATAATTTGAAACCGAGAAAATGATCCAGTCTGGATTTGCTTCAGGTTTCCTTAACTTTCTTACTACTTAACTTAATAGTTAAGGAAACCTGAAGCAAATCCAGACTGGATCATTTCATCAGTATAAGATTCGCCACTTTGTAACTAGATCTTTTATTATAATTATGGATTTGTAATCAGCAACCCCAGAAACCTTGCATTTTATATGTAACTTGATTACCTTAAGAAATATGGAGTATTTCGTGCAAGGGGGTGGTAAATTAGGGTTTGATAAAGGGGGTACATTTTTATGAATTTGATTTCAAATTCGTAATCAGCGACCACGAAAACCTTGAATTTTTTATGTAACTCGATTACGTTAGGAAATAAGGGGTATTTCGGCAAGGGGGTGGTCAATTCAGGGTGAAGGGGGTAAAATTTTATGAAATTGACATCAAATTCGTAATCAGCGACCACGAGAACCCCTAGAAAGATATTTCGGATCATTTACTTGATTTTTAGATTTTTGGCCAGCTTTTTTAGATTTGGCCCCACTGTACAGCGGTTGGATTTGGTGCCGCAACCAAGTAGTTACATTAGTTAGCGACTGGTTAAAAAACTGTTTCATATAAAAAGTGTAAAAAGTCATAAATTTATTAATTGAATATTTAAAAAAAAACAACTAAAATACTTTTTATTACTTTTACTAACATATGGGTTTCTTTCAACTTCAAGAATTAAGCTCATACGGGATATATACATGTTAAATAATACAAAAACAATATACTTTGTAATTTAATAAAAGTTCTTCAATATAAGAATATGTCCGATTCCATCTATATAATACAAAGCTTTCAAAAAGGGAAAATACCTACATACAAAATACAACCTTCATTGGACAACTATTCCGATTACCACCAAATTCAGTTCTCGATCCCTGTGTGTGTCACATACTTGGATGATATTACCAGAAGCATTCAATTTCCACGAAAATACATTATTTTCATACAATAAACGACCTCCTTCGAATCAAACACAGTGTCTCCAATGGTATAAGAATTGTAGTTGTAGTGAAATCATATAATATATTTATTTTATCTACATAGGGAGCACCGCTAAAAGACCTCGCCTTACACACAAGAGATTGAGATCGTGTATTGCACTACTTTACAATTAAGACGAAAGGATTTCTCATTACATTTTATTTACATAAAACTACAGAATTTAAAAGTAAACGACCCATGTGAACATTTTATTTACAAAGGATCATCATTTAAATGTTCATCTACATACGTTTTTGTTTAAAAATTATTTCGACAACACGTGTCTGATGGTTTGTCCAATCGCGGGAACATTTTTGACAATAAATAAACATGAATAATACTATTTACAATGTTTCACGACGTATAAAATAGATGTGTCATTTTAATATCGGTTATTACATTGACAAAATTAAATGTAAAACATTGGGTATCTACATACCTTTTGTAATCTATGAACGCACCTGTAAAATAACAGGCTTGTGTATGTACTACGTCTTAACATATGTGTAAATCGACAACAACTAATAATTACGTAATAGTTAATTTTAAAAGACGAAACAAAGATGAAGCACACAAGGTTGCATTGCATGCATACGCTTGCATCCATATTTGTCACGTCCCGGAACCTATTTTAAGTTTAATTATGTTTATTTTTACGTTACACTGTTTCTAACTGTAGATACACAGTCCACTGTGAATTCATAAATTACAAAAACTATAAGTTATAAATAAGAGGTCTAGCCGTGACATTGACATGTGCATTTTCCCACCAATAACATAAACACAATTTCAGCTAAAATCACGTTAGTATACAAAACGGATTAAAAAACTTATGGTGAGATTCTACGATACATGGGAGAGGAGCTAATTGTTAGATGGAACAGACAAGGCTGATGGATCTACGACACAATATAACTTATCGGAGAGCTTCACCGTACATGGGATAGACAGAAGAAAATTCACATTTACAGTATCTGGAAGAGTTTTTTGAGCTCCACCATCAATTGCCAATCGGTCTTAACCAAGTCGTCGCGGAAATAATCCTTGCAAGCATCGATACTAGCTCGCGATATCTGAAACAAAAGAAACCAATGTTAATATAATACTGAATGCATAACTGCTGTTTTGGTACCTAATGTATTGCAGCCTCTCTTCCCAGAATCCGTTGTTTAAGACATCCAAATCGGCATATCGTTTACAGACTAATTCAGTTCAAGGTCACGGCAAAACGCGAACGGCCAGCTTCGTCTTATGTGTTTATCAGTTTAATTTTATTATTTACTAGAGAGTACCGCAATAAGTATTAAGTTCCCTGAATCCCGCAACTCAATATCTATATGCTAAATAATAATCGGACTGAGCAACAACTGAACAGAAGAGAGATAATTATAAACCACTATACGAGTATATCAAAATTGGAAGTCATAATTAATTTTAAAATTATGTACTTTAATTGCTTCCTACCAATAAATTCGTAAGAACTGGTTTGACCTGTGATTCGATCGAAACACCTTGGCTGCTAAAAATAGCTGTTCCATGTTGAATGTACGACGGGTTCATTCAGATTGACCTAGTTTGAGCCGCATTGATTCAGCAGCTTGGGGTGAATGGGTGGTTTTGACGTCATAGGGAAAATAGAACAGGCTGTGCAAGTAAGGAATTAGGTCAACAGCACCCCCGCGCCATGGCCGGTGCACGGTACCCCGGGCCTCGTCTTCGCCGGTAGCGATCTTGGAACCGGCTAAAAAATCATATTATCAATGTAGGGAAAATGCCGGCTATATTTAGGTTCAGGGAATGGGGCATGAATAAAGACTTAAACGGTGAAATGTCCCAGGCTGCCTAAACTTATATTTGAGATGTGTCTTTAAAATGACGATTCTGGAATATGAACTTTAGTTTTGTGTAATAATTATCTTTTCACAATACATTTTAAATGCATTGTGAAAAGTTAGAGGCGGTAGCGTCATGGCTAAAAGGTCTGATTGATCATTGCAAATTCTAAACTTACCCAGACTGAGCTGGATAATAATAGTAGTAACATGTGACCTACGTTTATTCTTATCACTAGTATTTAGAAAAATACTGCGAACAACGTCAGTTTCATCAATGAAACCGCACAACGAAATATCAATGGGTCTGACGTCCTGACCCGGTCACTGCGTTTGTGTGCGTACAGTTTCGTTTCTCTGTGTGTTCATTGCGAAGTGTGGAGCTAGCAAAACGTGGTGGCGCCTCGCCCTTCTTAAACTTTGCCATGAAGCACGTCCTTCAAATGGAATTAAGCATCGTCCCTTTAATGTATAGGAAATAAAATGATCATAATGCAGGTTCAGTTATAATGTGTTTCATTATTATACGGTACCTAGTTGTAACGAACTTGGAAGCGCGTACAACAGTTACCCACTTACGACATGGTGGAGACTAACGACATGCAGTCATAACTACACCATCATTGTCATTTTATAATAAATGTATAGCTAAAGTCAGAAAGCCCGTCCGACTTATTTGACACCGCGATAATTTGTTGCGTTTTCGCTTAGGCTTTTTTTATCACATTGACGAACCTAACAAAGGAAAGGTAGAGCAATAACTTCTAGGCATTATTTGACAACATATTAGTAACGGCATAACTTAGGTAACTTGAAAATAATTAAAAAGATGTAAGTGCAGTTTTGAAGAAAAGTATTCGCTTAATAAAAAAAAGCTTGTAACCAACAAGTAAAAATAAAATAGCGATATGTTAATCAAAAATGTATTTTATTAACTTTGAGTAAAATGTCGGTAAATGTTTTAATTTTATATACGTATGATTTTAATTAAAACGTTATATTTTTAAATTTAGTATACGTCTTAAATACATAATATGGCCGAAATTCTTTCGCTGTGGAAGAACCTAAAAGAAATAGGAACATGAAAGGTATTCTTGAGACTTTATGTAAAAGCAAATTTTAAACCGATTTAATTCGTGTAAACATCAAATAAATTATTAAATGCTTCTGATGAAAACTTGAATGATATTGAAAATACGCAATCAATTACTTGAACTAAGAGGTCTGTATTTAGAATAGAATGTACCTTAATTTGTAAATCAATTTCTACAAACACTTCAAATCGTGACTAAGAACATTTTTTATCAAATTTATATAATATTTTTGTTGAACTTTATAATCGGATATTTGTTAATTTTCACACATTCTCTAGCTCATTAACAAAACTAACCTAACTCATCTGTATTAAGTATTGTATACAATAATCCATACTAATATTATAAATGCGAAAATATGTCTGTCTGTTACCTCTACACGCTTAAACATCTGAAATGATTTAGATGAAATTTGGTGTGGAGATATTTTGATGCTTGAGGAAAGACGTATGGTAAAAAGTATTTACCACGATAACCGACATATATGCAAGCGGAGCCGCGAGCAAAGCTAGTTTAATATATAATTAAGCTTAAAAGTTTTTTGTTTGTTTGAACGCGCTCTATGAGTACCAGTCTTATTTCAATGAACCTGCTCTCTGTATTAGCTAGAGTATTTATTAAGGAAAAAATTAGGCAATAGAACATCATGCTGTGGATCACAATCCTTAAGAGCGGAGTGTACTAAATAAACTAAATATTACAACCATAAATCTACTGGCACTAATTTGACATATCTTACGATATACATACTCGTCATTTATAAGTAGTTACAAGACTACGTGCACTGCAGCGAAATCAATTATCAGGTCTGAACAGGACAGGTTCTGAATCGTGATTATTTTGTTAACTCTGTTTGGTAGTGGAAAGTTTTGGTTATCCTTGCCTTGAAGACCCATAAATAAGGGTGATATGAAAGGACTCATAGAGCAATCGTTGTCATGTTGCGCAAGATCATAAACAATAACCGTCAAATGAATTGCAAGTATACACATTATATGATTTCATTTTATTTTCTGAAGTTAATTAGCTAATTGTTAATTTAAACTTACAAGCTATACTTGACATAACAGTCTGAAAATTCTTCCAGTCTCCTACACTTATTTATTCTATACTAAATAAGACATATTAATGACGGAATAATTGAATATCTTTATGAATATTAGATAAATAGTGACATTGAAAAATTAGGTAAAATTAGTACGATGAGATAACAAAGAATAATATGATATTTTCCACCATTTTAAGAAATCTTCACAACAACAAATTTTACAACTTTAATTAAAGCTGTAGCTGCAACAAAATCATTCTTAATCTCCTTCTTTGAAACAATTTAATATTCCTAAGCACTCAGAAAGTTAGTTATTATGTTTTATTATTTTATTTTTTCTCTTCCAACAATGATAAAAACATATAACGACTGCACGAGTTTGACATCAAAGTGATTCAGTTCATACAAGTGGCCAGAAGATCGTATGGAGAATATGACGTCACAGGCGTCCAAAAATACACCGACCTTCGGTCGGGTGACGGAAAATCGTCGAGTCTACATTGAGTGCTTTTATATTGTGTGAAGGAAAGATTGATGTTTTCCACTAATCGAAAACAAAACAGGAAGCTTTTATGTGGTGTTAAGGGGCTTCATATAACCTGATACTTATTGAGAGTATGTAGAATAAAGAGTTATGTAGATGAACCGTGCGAAATATTGATTGACTAACTACGCATTATATGAATGTATGTAGATTTCCACAGTATTTTTTCTAGCTTTATTTATCTATGTTGCTGTTGCATGTGTCATTAGGCTTATATTTGCTTCCTGTCGGGAGATCCTGGATTTGAATAAGAAATCGGGAATACACGGATTCTAGAAATGTGACCTCTAGGTCTAAATATTAAAAGGATAGGCAGAAATATCTTTCAACTTTTAATCGTTCGCGTTCTATGATATATATATATATATACTTATATAAAAATGTTTTGTTGGTTTGCATACGCTTTAAAACGTCCAAAAGTTTTGCACAGATCAGGCTCAAATTTTGACACGATTTGCAATCCGCTTCAAAGACTGTTGTTATTAATTTATAACGTCAGTTTTGTGCCCCATTTCTCATCAATGCCACCACAATGTGCCACAGCGAAGCTTGGCAGGGTACAGCTAGTGTATATTATTTCAATTATTTTAGGTAGATATTTCACTAGATCGTACTAAAACTGTCTTATAAATTTTTCTTCTTTTCATTTATGGCATTAATGTATGTTTTCCTTTACAGAATCGAGACTATTTAATAAATCTGAGGAATATTACAATTGATTTCATGCTTAGTCGGACTTAGCGAAATAGTTACCTATATTAGTTTATTTCATTGACTAAAAAGTTTCATCCTCAAACATTTTATCACTGGCATGAGTAAAGAAGTTTACATCAAAAGTTAATCAGCTCGATAGGTAGGTACTAAAAACTAGATAATATCAGATGCACTTTATACAATAATGTAATGATCTTAATTCATCGTGTCGTCAATCCTGAAAAAGTTCAATTATAGTTAACGGCCATAGTACCGAAATAAAACTAATAGGTAAGAAAGGATTTTTCCAAATTTCATTCCCTAAGGGGGTAATATAAGTGACAAACGGTTATAGCTAGTGGGTTTTATGTAGATGTGATGATGATTTTGTATTCTGCATTTTTAAGAAGCATCTCATAAGGATCTAGAGAAGATAGGCGTGTCCAAAACACAGAAAAATATTTATGCCGTCTGACATTAATAAAGACCATATGCATATTTAGAAAATTGCCACTAGAATAATGTACAATCTAGTGAAATAAAGATGTATGGTTCACCATCTGTATTTCAATTAAATGTCTCATGTGATTATTGCGTGTTGTCCATTTGATCTTATTTGTAGCAGTCGAGTGCCTATTTATCAAAGAGCAGATCGACGTACCGATTGATGCAACGAGCATTCTAATTTAGCACCAATAGTGACTTAAATAGCGTTGCAATTATATGAACATTGTATCATAAGCTTTTACGTTTTTATCACCATTCATTATTTACTGCCCGTAAAGAACGTTTTAGAGGATTTAGACCAATTGCTCTGTTCATTCATCCTAGCCTTTTTCATCATTAATCTATAACAATTTTC